ATATTGATGCAAGCTTCTGACTAGAGAAAAGCATATTAGTCGGGACATTTGTTTAGTCAACATGTGCTTAAAACGTACATTTTCAATTCCGCACCAACATAATCTTTTCATACGTCAAATCTGTAAAAGAGTTTAATTGCATCAATATAACGTCAGTACCAGGGATTTTTTTTTAGTTACAAATAAGAAAATTTTTCACAAGGATTCTTTCAGCTAAATTTTCTTTTTATTATCAGCTGTATAAATACTCTACTGTTACAAGCCAGGGGTATTTTGCTTGATTGAGCGGTGTCAAAACCCTGGCCCGAATCCCGCTTGAAATCATAAGTTTACCCCATGTTTCCAGAGACTTCTATACAACTTCAATTGTAAGTTGGAAAGCCCGACGTATCCATTCTATACATAATTTTTACTCTAATCAATGTAAGACCACATTATTTACAACTTGCCAAATAACCATCAACCGCACATCCACATAATTTCTCTACATTAACTTTCCGTTCCGTCAGTAGTTCACAGCGTAGAAACTCTACAACTATCCCTAACACGGGGGACTATTTGAACTGCGTCACCTGAGGCTAGCCGATCTACCGATTCAAGGCACATCACACCAGTAAACCTACATCACATTTGTCACTATGGCGACATGAACGGTGTCTCCCGAGTCCTTTCTCATTTATTACAATGTGTAATTTACCGGTTTCCTACCATAAACACTGCCGCTGCAGTCACAGCACCGATGTACACCACTAGATTTTATAAAGTACTACATCATGGTCAGTCATGCGGATTGGGTCTGAATTCGCTACTCATTGGAAACTTTGCTGAAGTGTGGAATCTGTCATCAATCAACAATCGGAGCTTTGTGTGTCAATGGTTATCCGGAATTCTTCAAAGATCTTAATCTATGAATCTATTTCGCTACTCATTGGAAACTTTGCTGAAGTGTGGAATCTGTCATTATATATCTTCTAGCATCTTGGAAACTCACTAACACTTTCCGTGACGTTTACTCCTAATAATTGACTAAATATTTCGTGCTAAGGAATATTTCCCATTGCACCGAATTCCAATAATCAAGCAAGTAATCACACAATCATAAAAACTGTTTAAACTAAATGCGCATCTTCTTAATTTATTACAATACGTTATGTATGTCCATTTCGAGATTGGTTCCCATTTTATTATATAACTAATAACACAAATCTTTCAGTCACTCAGATAAAATTCAAAATCAACAAGACTGATAAAGTTATTTCCATTACACAACCATGTCGTTTTATACACAGCAGTATATATTTGCTTTTCTCGAATATCTGTTAATGTCAGATTCACTTCTATTACATCAAATTGTCAATACTAATGATAGTTTCTAACTAAATCTTTGCAAAATGTAGAACATTGCAAATTACTCTCCTCTATTTGACAATTTGACGACCTCTCAGGAAGAAAATAAACCCCAAACCAATGATTTGAGAGAAGAATCTAGTAGCTATTGGTAGAGAAATGTAGCTACTGATACTAGTGATTGTCCCCGACAATTAGTTATTTAGTTGGAAGTGGTTTTCATTTTTATTAGCTCATTTACTTCAATCCATTTAATAATTATCCATAGAATGCATAATGGTCGATGCTATGGCAACCATACACGCATTAGTAATTAAAATGGGAATTTTAATCATTCACAAACCACGTCAGTTAAATATCTGGACCGCTATTTAGAATTCTTAGAGAAAGTGAACGTGTTTTGACTAGTATATTTCTTAAATGTAAATAGGGAATTGTAGTCCAAATGCGAAATTCATAATTTAATGAACGCCAAAATCCACGTTTCCAGCAGTAATACCCGAAAATGTAATTTTTCTGATTTAATAAAAAGTATATAATTTACAAAAAAGGAATCTGTATTGGTTATTTATACCACAATTCTGAAATTCAGAATTTTTACAAATTACAACTCTCAAAACTTGCTAAAAATATTGCTACCTACCAAACCTCCCAATTATGCCATCTTTACTCACATTCCAAACTATGAACCATGGTATAGATCTATCCATAATTCGTAACCCGAGGGTTGTTACGTGTGTGTGAGTGTTTGTGTGTGTCGTTTTGCCATGATAGTATAAATATATACTTTTCTTTAAGAAATAAGTGAACATGTACTGTGATAAAAATTTCTTTTATTTGACATTTTGATTCAATCAAGGTACCCAATAATAACGAACGAAATGATTTCATGCCAAGTTTGGTAAAGGAGGAGACATTGTCAAGGTAAGAAGGATGTACCGAGGGCGTGGAGGATAAAACAGTTTCCCCATCACACGCGAAATAGATTCATAGATTAAGATCTTTGATGAATTCCGGATAACCATTGACACACAAAGCTCCGATTGTTGATAGATAATGACAGATTCCACACTTCAGCAAAGTTTATGTGACAGTCATCACATATGCTTAAATATATAACAGTGTTAACATAAATAAACATATAAAATAAATCTCCTCTGAAGCAAACATTCCTCTTCTAAATGTACAACTGAACAAGCACACTAATTTACTGAGCAAAATTGTGCAACTGATACCAAAGGCTGACCGGGGGGATAGGAGGGGCTGTCGTGTCAGTGCGAGAATGTGAGAAACATCTTAAACGGATGCCAAATTCCATCCACAGAACTATTCCTACTGGTTTCACGCCCTTCTCCACCCCACTCCGAACAAAATAACCCACAGAAACAAACAAACAAACAAAAAAAAAAGACCAAACCAAACAATGCATAAATATAAAAACAAAACAAAACAAAATGACCCCCCTCCAAAAAACCAAACAAAATATCAAAAACAACAAAATGCCACCCCTATCACCCAACAACCCCCCAAACAACACAAAACAACAAAACCAATGATGTTTATTGATCCCCATCCACCACCATACTCCCATGGTGCATGTTATATCAGGACTAATCGATTTTGTCCATGACATCCATATAAGAATTCTTCTGAAGTCTAAGTTGTCTGTTTGTTAGATGTTAATTGGTACGTAAACTTACAAAAATCCGTATAGTATCGTGTCAATGCATTTAGATTAAAGTTGATTGCCCAGAGACCCAAAACTGCGTCCGAGAGGTCTTTTTCGATTTAAACGTTACTAGAAACATTTTGTAGTCTCGCTAATATTTATTAGTCAAAATGCTAAATAAAGATTTATGACAAAGGGGTCTGGTATGGTGTGTGCAGGAACTAAACATTGGTTGTATGTGTATTTGTCATATGAGTAACCTGTCTGTGAACCTATTATAACATAAAAAGACAGAAAGTTTTAATTGTTTTGTTATGTCTTGCTTAAAATCGGTATTATTTATTTTTAATTTCTTTATTTGCAGCACTATGAATATAACTGTGCGATACCGTTGCTACCCATGGCCCGTTTAATTACAAAATGATAGGAGTTAAAAACAGATAATTACAAATAAATTTGATAAAAACTGTTGCAAGTAGTTTGTCTAATTGTTGTCGTCTTTCTTGACTGATGTTTATTGTTGTTTTTGATGTTACTGCTAGAACTGCCTTTGTTGTTATTTGGAACATAAGTGACTTAAGTTTTCAACTATACTACTTGTAAGGGTCAGTTCGGGTTCTCTTATTATGATATCACTAATTTTCTTCTTTTTAAAAAAGCGGCAACATTTTCTTTATGTTGTTCTTGAAAATATACACTAATCCAGTAAGTGGAGTTAGTAAATATTATGGCCCACATCCTTTCAGCTGAATAAGTCACCTCTACACACGCACACGCACGCACGCACGCACGCAGATAATAAGACCATCATTAAATTGCTAATCGTCTTCACCGTTTCCTGGAAATGCTTTATTTAATGCTGACTAAATGAGTGTGTGAATAGGCTAGTCTGTGTTACGTCTCTAGACAATGAATTTGAAATGAAATAATGTAGATTTATATTCGTCGTATACCCATGCTCCAGTGGACGATGAAGCAATATTTGAGCAATCTTAGTTGCTTTAAGCACAGCTAGTAACAATCGATAATATTGATCGGTCGTGCAAATTTCATGTAAGAAAAGCCTAATAAATTTTATGTTATCATTATTTTTCGAGTCAAAACTCCGCACTTTTTTTTCATTGAAAATATCCTTATGGTTTAATTTGCCAGCTATTTTCACCCCTTACTATCTGGGAAAAAAATACACACAAAATGAAACCCTTGTTAATTGGACACGTTTTGGTTCCCCAGGGAATACATAACAGTCTTCTTTAATCTTCTGACTGACACATACTGGATCTGACGAGATGCTTGAGTAATGTTTGCTATAAAACTAGAAGTATTAGAGATTGATGCATTGCATATTTATTCAGCCGGTCTGTAGAAAGGGAACTGTGTGGAAACAAAATCAAGTTAATCAGATAATAATGCGCCATAACTCAACCAAATGATGATGAAAAGTGCTTGCAATCAAACTGACTCAAGAGTTCCACAATTCTGAGCTGCAAATTAAATTGGCTTAAAATCCCAAATTATTTCGTGCAAAAATCGAATGTTGACAACTGAGCTATAAAAGCTATAAATTAATTATATTGTTACTCTACAATGAATCTCATGGAAAGTAGACATCTGAAAAGTAAAATAGCATTATCTCACCAGTATCAAACTGCACACCAAATTTGTCTGAAATCCAAAATTTCTCGGTACATATATGATGCTTATACCCTTGTTGGGGGGGGGGCAATCAGGGGCTATAACTCCTGCAAATTGTTGAAAAATCAAAGACAAAAGGGGCAGATCGCATATAATTTATGTTGTGGAATGCTGGAAATTGAAGTCGTTAGATGTCTCGTTAGTATAAACTGCATGCCAGGTCTGTTTAAAATCCAGTTGTTGGCAGTGAAGTTATTTTGCGGACACTAAATTATGGAGATTGGGTTATCAAGGGTCACAACTTCTCTAAAATGTCTTATAAGTCTAAGTATCGAACCTTTTCGAGGTATGATCAATTGCTCAGTTGGTAGAGCATTTGTCTCATAAACTAAGGGTATCAATTCCCGCTATGGTCAGCCCCCAGCTGCCTCTTCGTGTTTTTGGGAAAACAACTACGTTCCCGTATCTTCTGCATGCTATAGCCAATAATGTATTACAAGCTAAACTTAGCTGAAACTCCAAGAGTTCCTTCTGATGTTTTCTTGTGGAAAGCAAATCGGACAATATGATTACAATAGTGATTAAATGGAAAGAACACAAACTTTATAATAAGAATTATATTTATAATTTGAAATCTAGTAATGTGTGGATCCGTTTTACGATCTAATCATTTTGGTTTTGTTGATTAAAACGTCTCTTTGAACATAATAATGGCTCTATTGTGCCTGCGAAATGTGAACTAAATAGTTTTGTTTTCCAAGCACAAAGAGAGGCAACCTGTATCATACTGATCTTCATATGAGACCATTCCTTCTCAATGTGTTTTATTTCAGCGTTCAATGAACAGTTGTTTTAAAGGTTCTTTTTAACCGTACCAAATGTAATTACTATTCATCGTCATCACTTCTAGGAAATGCTGTAATTAATTCTAACTGGAACTCAAATGAAGGATAAGTCTGGGTCAGGTCTCCTGGTAATTGATCATAAATGAATTAATAGGTAAATTAATATTGATTCTCTATCTCATCGCAAAGAAGGAAATTTTGAACAATCTTTGATACCTTAAGAACACTTAAACACAAGCAGAGTGGATAATACTGATTAGTCGTGCTATTTTGAGGAATACTTTGAATAAATTCTATACCATAGTTGTTTGTCTGTTAAAATTTAGCTCTTTATTCTTAAAGAAATTATCCGTATGACCCAAATCTCTTTTTCTCAACTTTATATTCTGGTGGAAACGTGTTCAGTGAAAACTATTGAGCGAAAACTACTTTATTTTTTGCGGAAGTTTGCATATGACCTAATATGGGTATAACTCCTCTCCCTCCCTCAGTGTTGTCCAGGTGAAAAGACAAACACAAATCCAATGGGTACAAGTTGTGTACTCATTGCTGTTTTTGCACAATAATCAATTAATTCGCTAACACTAATAATTATTTACGATTACGAGCTTCTCAATAAACTCAAGAGACGGGCAAGGGCACATTAATGTTAGAAACCTTTACTCCCTTTGACGTTCTCTGGGTCACTGAAATACTGTTTCGTTGCGTTTGCTATTGTGTCCATTTTGTATCTGCTTAAAACTTTTATGATATCTTTGGACAATAAAAGCAATCAAAACGTGTAACGTAACATCCTCTCCCTTTCTCCGCGCTTTTCACACCACTTGCCTTAAAAACTTTATCAAGATGCTATTGTATGGCCATACATGCCTAACCTTTTGATAGATCTAGGAAGCAGCGCTGTTTCATCTCCATGCATTGTCACCCTCCTTCAATGAATAACTCAAGGTCAAGACGAATAGAAAAATCACGTCAATTTGAGGTTTTAAACTTATTTGCCATCATAAGTCTTCTTTACAAGCAATTTCTTCTCAAACAAAGCCAATAATTTTAACGTTATAAATATAAATTCTATCTACCTAACACAAATCGTGTTTGTTCTCACCGACAAAATCAAATTAACTGGGCATTATGAATGGCAACATCTAGTTGTGGTGTAATTTTCTTCTGGCATTTAGCATCTGTTTGGACCTGAAATTTGCTGTCCGACTATATAATATATTGACCATATTTAATCCTAGAAACAATACTGTAGATCTGAAAACAGTTTTGTCTGGAAGAATTGTAACATTACTAGGGAATTTCTCAAGGGAAAGGTTATGGAAATTCTAGACCTCAGCATGTATTCATAACGCTTTGGTGAAGCTGATTTCTAAGTTATACACAATGGATTTTACTGCCACAAAATAGATGGCAATCTAAATGACTACTCAAAACGAAATCATTGACATTGGACTCTTGTGGAAACGATTGTTGTATTCGTAAGAATATTGAAAACAAGCTAGCCCTGTTTCTTTTGACCAGACATTAAGGGACTCAAAGACTAAGGTACAGCAGGATTAAATCAAAGCTTATCATCTTTTGTATTTAAGACAAGTTGGGAATAACTGGTTGGATACAGACTTAGCATCAAAGCGCAAGTTTCCAATGTTCAGGAGGAAGATAAAAATGCGATATAGATTTAACATTAATACAATATGATTAATTAGAAATCATATCACAACTAAATAATGCTATTGTTGGTCACGGGATTATCTGGTGATGAAAAGATAGTATTTGCATGCGACAACAATTTGAAAAAATCCAGTGATGTGTTTTTAAACTTAGATTAAACCCTGACAATAATACCAAAGTAGGAAGGATTATTTTACTCTCAATGTTTGTTAAACAATCTGTGAGAGTAAGATATTATAATTACATATGACAAAAGAGAAAGAGGGAGTAATACCTACATAGAAGAGAATGAATAAAAATGTTTTTACAAGTTAGATCTGGACGTTGAAAAAATTCATAATAATCAAGAATTGCAGACCAAGTGCAATAAATAATCGTTAGCCTCCATATCGACAATGACATAGAAACTCGTTTACATCTTTAGCAATTTTTGAAGGATACGTTTAATATATATATATTCAAAAGTAATTAAGAAAATTTAATCATGTTTGCTGCATTATTTACACATTTCATAAAAAAATACAAATTGCAAAACCATACTTGCCAATACACAAAAATTGTGTGGTCAGCTAAAATGACGAAATAGTTTTAACAGCAGACATAAAATTCCAATGTATCACACTTACAATAGTATCAAATATTGTTGCCAACACTTTTCCGCTAACTCAAATAAATAACAATATTTCTCAAACAATGTATTGTATTTTGATGAAGATGATTAGCTATTAAGGGAAATGTAAAATGCTGTTTTGAACTTAAAAATCGGAAAAAGATGTTTTAGGAGATTGAGGAAGAGTGTAGTTAGAGAAAAAATCTTTTATTTTGCTTGTGGATGTGTCTTTGCATACGTCGTTTCTCGGATATCGGATCGCTAATTATTTTGCAGACAGAATTGTATTTACTGGGGTGGCAAAAATAGGAAACAAAATAGTTAATAAATTGACTTTTTCTGCATTGTGAATTTCACAAAACGTCAATTTATATATAATAGAGGATAATAAAATGTTAACTTTTATTTTTATATCCTTTATTGAATTTACGTCAGGCAATTATCAAATAGACCTTTGTTATTGGGTACAGATTAGGGGGTTATTATATTTAAAGACACATGTATAAAATGCAAATGCTGCATAACATCTCCTTATCAAGGCTGAAAATATATCCTACAAATGATGCATGGAAGCATATATAGTTTTTATGCCAATCTAATGAACAAATTAATTTTTTATTTTAAGATATTCACATAATGTTTTGTGCGAGATTAATTAGTGGTCTGATACCTTAAGTATTCAATCTATTTTTTTTCAATCTTTTGAACATCAGATTTTATAGATGCTGGTTTTGAGTAGACAATTTCAACGCCTGCATTGGTATAACGTGTTAGCGTCCTTTTCTCTTTTGTAATGAATATTGTTTCCATGGGTTGTATTTGTGTACACATGGGCAGATTGCCTCATTGTAAACGTTGGTTCGGATTGAAATTTAAGTTGCATCTTTAGACTTCGATCAGATCCAAGCATTTTCTCTAGATATATTAGATATATTCGGACATTCAGTTCATGCCATAATAGAAAAAAAGCAACAACGTTAATGTTTGAAACACAACATATCAAAAGGTTAGGCATGTTTGGCCATACAATAGCATCTTGTTAAAGTCTTTAAGGCAAGTGGTGTGAAAAGCGCGGAGAATGGGAGAGGAGGTAACGTTACACGTTTTCATTGCTTTTATCTACTGAATATGATGGCATACCAAAACATTATCATCGACTTGAGTTTGAACAAATACGTCGAAAAAGATATGGTTGCTATTTTATTTAATTTCATTAGATTGTTGTTATTTTAATTTTAAAACCACCTTATGTTGTCTGTTGTTATCAACTGATTGACCGATCCAGTGGACTAGTGGTTAGAGCGTCCGCATTGAATGCGGATGGTCGCGGGTTCGAACACCGGTCTAGTCATACAAAAGAATTAAAAAATGGTACAAACAACTACATCCCTTGACGCTCAACATTAAGAAATTAGTGTTATGACTGATCCGCCTGGTGTCAGGATAATATAAGTGGGTTTGACATGATGCTATGAATAACCTTTGGATTTGAATTTTTCAGTATCATCAAATAGGTATTTATCTGCTAGCCAAAATATTAATTTGCCCCAACAAATCAGAAATGACAGAGAGAGTATCTTGACCTTTTCGTGCCATAGCCGTCGATTCACATTTGTTCAGTGACAGAACAACTCCAGTGGACAGTTTGGTTAGAACGTCCGCCTCCCAGTCATACCAAAAACTTATAAAAATAGAACTCGCACTAGAACGCTCAGCATTAAGAGGTTAGTGTCAGGGCTGGATGGTCTGGTGTTTAGATAATGTGACTAGGTGGGATGCTACATGCCTGCAGCATGATTCCCAAGTGCTAGACATTTGTTAAACCTACGTTAAAAATCCAAAATCACCCACACAAATATATACAAATTATTTCTTCCTAAAAATTGTGTTGAAGAGTTGCAAAGCCTTCTGCTGATAGTCAAAGGTCTTCTAAAATGAATCAATACGCTGCGGCGATCAGATACATTCATAGCCACTTAGATGATAATGTTGTCTCTTCAGGTCTATTTTCAGTAATTTAGATACCTAAGATGTTATCTAACAAACATAATAATTGTCCGATGGTACAATATATACTGAACAAACAAAATAAAGAATCATACAACTTCAGCTGGAATCAGGTAGTTCACGAAGCGTATGTCATTCAAGTCACGAATTCATATTCAAAGATCGATATTCAAATCAAAATTAAAAAACAATCATCTTAAGGAGCTGAATGTGTGATGGATGGACTCATGGAATGGAGGAAGTGGCTGGTTTTATGAAAGCGATATATGTATGGAATAAAATTTACTAATATTAAGCACACGAATAAAATTATTTTTGTACATATTTTCTTCTAGTATATCTGCCTTTTTCTATACTAAATGTATAGGTTGCGATTGTATGCGTCATATTGAAGCAAACAGCAACAAACGTGCGAAATGCAGCCAATTTATGTATCCTTCTGGATATCGTTGACTGTTTTTTTGCATCCTTATGAAGAAGCTAACACTTCCATACAAGAGCGCATTAGTGGACCGAATTAGGACTAACCAGCAATGAGTAAATACCTTTTTAACAAGAAATGTTTGAAGCAAACTGACGAAATAAGTTTACTGAATATCAACTTTTAATCTAGTTTGATCCGAATTCTTACATGGAGCAGAGAGTTATCGATTTTTTTTGGTGTCTTATTTTAAATTATAATATATTTACATCAACTCAACTTTTTCTTTTGCTAAAGTACTGTGAAATTATAATATGGCAACTGTGCTTATAGTGTCATTGACCTTCATTAATTGTATACCTAGGCCTCTGATGACTATCATAAAATTCAGATCTTGTAATCTGATGACTCTCTACGGACCTTTATCACAAAAATAAATATTATATTTCTGAGAATTATCTACTGAACATGTGAATCTAGGATACTTCATTATGATATATATATATATATATATATATATATATATATATATATATATATATATATATATATATATATATATATATATATATTGAGATTTCTTGACATTATTAATCTAGGATAATGAATATGATTCATCGACATTGTTCATCCAGGGTTCTCATTATCATTTAATGATATTGTGATCCTTTAATTATGATAATGGTCTACTGACATTGTCAGCATGGCATATGACTATCTATTTACATTGTAAACCGAGGGTTCTGATTATGATCTATTGACATTGTGAACCTAGGCTCCTTTCGGTCTATTTCCATTGTGGAAAGACTTCTAAAGGTCTATTACCATTGTGGACAGACTTCTAAAGGTCTATTGACATTGTAGAAAGACTTCTAATGGTCTATTGCCATTGTGGACAGACTTCTAAAGGTCTATTGCCATTGTGGACAGACTTCTAAAAGTCTATTGGCATTGTGGACAGACTTCTAAAGGTCTATTACCATTGTGGACAGACTTCTAAAGGTTTTTTTGCAATTGTGGACAGACTTCTAAAAGTCTATTGGCATTGTGGACAGACTTCTAAAGGTCTATTGCCGTTGTGGACACTTCTAAAGGTCTATTGCCATTGTGGACAGACTTCTAAAAGTCTATTGGCATAGTGAACCTAGGATTCTGATTATGATCTATTGACATTGTGAGCCTAGGCTTATGATGGTTTACCGACATTGCCAACCTGGGCTTTTCTATTGACATAATTATTTATGTATTTGAGTATTGTGACTATAATTTATACCATCTTGAGAAGGATTGCTGATATTTCTTGCGAAGATGTCCATATATGAGATCCTATATATTAAGTTCGGAGATCACATATATCCAAATTTAAACTCCCATATATCTAATATCCAAGATACCATATATCCATTTCTGAGATCCCACAAATCTAAATCTGAGATCCCATATGGCTAAAAAGGAGTCCGTATCAGGACTTTTGTAGTGACACACATCGACAGTGATATAGATCATAATTTGTTCGCTTGTTGGCTCGTTCATCAGCCATCAGTTCATCGTCCACCTTAGTGAAACGTTTCTATTATGCTATTGTAGGCACTGTATTGAGGTACGTCTATACGAGGAACACATTTCTAGACTTGGTTGAGCTTTTTACAATTAATTGCTTTTCAATTCCATTTTCTCTTACTTTATTTTTGTTCTCATAGGTCAGTCACCAATTAAAAGAATTACAATAATATTAGTAACCCATAGCATTTTCTGACTATAAATGACTGCAACTTTACCGACATTGTCGCCCCAAGACTTTTCATTTCGTTTTGGAAAGAATCAACAAATTCAACACATCATTTTATCGTGGGCGGATATGCTGTTTGAAATCCTTTGTAAGGCAGATCATTACTGGTTTTTGTTCTCTGTCGAAAGACATCTTATGCCTAATAAATGTCATGATCTTAAAAAAGCTAACGCTCAGGGTGCTCAGGATTCCCGTTATTACTTTGTCTACGTAAACTAAGCCTTGAAATTCTTATGCATATGTTGAATACAAGCCAGTGTGCAATTTGCCTTCAATGTAGCACGTATCCTCTAGCTGCAATTATCTGATTTCATTCTTCTTCTGGAAGTATAAAAATTATTTCTTCATCTCCAGAATTAAATTTAGACACAATTATTTGCAAGATATACATTATGAGAGATGTGGATTATTAGTTATTTCATTTTCGTTTTGTTGTTTGTTTGGATTTCACAAGATACTTTAGGATCGGCACATATTGAGAAACCTTTAATGAGAGGATGTAGATTACAACTATTTCGTGATGAACAGAAACAAATCAATGTATAATGATTAAAAGGTCAGGAACACCTCGTTTCTGTTTAATTAAAAAAATTATATGGTAAATCAGTGATGAAGCATACATACATACATACATACATACATACATACATACATACATACATACATACATACATACATACATACATACATACATACATACATACATACATACATACATACATACATACATACATACATACATATCACGGAATTATGTGTACAGAGACCAGCCGTTATGCCGGTAATACCACCCGCTTCCGGTGTTTGCATTAAATATGAAAGAAACTGTTGCTGGGTTTAGTTGTCATGTACTGCATTACCAGAAGGTGGTTGATATTCATCTTTAGCTATTTCAAAATAGTTCGTTTCACCCACTGCTGCACAAGCAAAGTTCTTGCAGTCAGAACCCCATTACCTTAATCTCTTTGACTGTGGATTTCAGCATAACCAAATTAGATAAAGAGATAAATCTGATTGCATTATCATATATATATGATAATATATATATATATATATATATATATATATATATATATATATATATATATATATATATATATATATATATATATATATATATATATATAAATTCAGTGTTTATGGGCTTGTAGTGTCACTATGACAAGGAAAATGTGCTGTACTCTGTAACATTGATTCCAGGTTTTACCTATGGTGTCCATCGTACACAAAACTTTTGACAATGGACGATGAGTACTTTTCATGCAGAATTCAATTTTAATTATTCTGACTAAAGGGAATACATCATTCTTTAGGCATCCGAAAATATGTACACTATAAAGAAATTTAGTTAAATTACCAATACACATCTTTAATGCGAAATCATATAAAGAATGTGCATTCCTTTCTTCTCATTCAATTGATAACATTGAGAAAATCTCCGACTTTAGTTTGCATCCACCCACCTCTATTATGTTTATAGGCCAAATAAAGATTTCGTGACTATTTCTTGAAACCAATAATCATTTTGCTCCATTGGATATCTTTAACGTTAATGAATCCACTGCTGTTTGATAAGCCACCATTATATGTCTCTCGCTCTGTTTATTGTCATTATTCCTGTGCTAAAATGTTGTTTTCAGGAATGCTGGAAGGCGTATTTCTCAAAAGTAAAAATTATGTCAACGTGTCTAACAAATAATTCAATAAAGTAAAACTAGTAGGGTAACATCGGACGACTAACAAAACCGAAAATAAAACAATGTTTGATAATTTTTTAATTTGAAATTTGGCCATCCAGACCATGCACTTGTGGTACTTTTATATTTTCACCGTGTATTTTTAAACGTGTCATAGCTGTGATGCTAGTCTAACCTGTTTTATATGAGTTATATTTGCCTTTATTCGTTATATGTACCCAACGCTGTTACCAATCAATCTATTAATGTTTAGCCTTTCTACTAACAATTTTTTTCCCTTTTACTTTCATACTGGCATGGTAACGCACATGACGATGAATCCATTCTTATCCGTAAGGGCTGAATAATTACCGATTATCAGGACAGTAACTTGATCTCGATATTTATATCGCTTAGAGTTTGATAACGGACAGACATCGAATCTCGCGAGACCCAAAC